TAGCATAATATGGAACATGGTTATCACATTTGTGGTCTCTTATCTGACTTGGGCGCCCCTCAGTCTTCCCCAACCTTTCTCTATTGTGACAACCGAAGTGCTAATCAAATTGCTCATAACACTGTCTTCCATGAACGGACAAAGCACATTAAGATTGATTGTCACTTTTTCCGTCAGCATCTGCAGTCTGGTTTTATCTAGTAGAGTTCTATATCTATCAAAATTCTACATCAGTGATGTATTCGTTTAGGATTAGGAATTAGTGTTAGTGTTCGTTTAGGATTAGGAATCAGTATTCTATATAAGCGATGTATTCTTTGTTCAATGAATTCAATCTAATATACAGTTTCATTCAGAAAACTTACACCATAGCCTAGTTGCTGTGACTTTCATTTCTTACTTCCGTTGTCCTATGTTTGCTTCATTTAAAATTTGGTTTTAGATATCTGGTTATGAGCTTTGTTAGTGGTGACATTGAATTGAATTTGTTTTTGTTCAAATTAAATGTTCGTGCATTTGTGCTTTGGTTTGCATTCTTTCTTTTACGATTGTTAAATTTTTTGCCCACCAAGTGTTTGATTCTATGCTCAAGTGAGAAATTTATCAAAAACAATTGGAACATGGTCACCAAGTGTTTGAATCTGCTTTCAGAATTGCAAAGAATTTTATACTTGCCTACAAACATATGGCACATTTCTATACATAAACATACATGTGAATTTATGTATGTGAAGCTCCTATAGAAAGAAAGGGACAGTTTAAAGTTTCTTCTAAAAAGATTAATGACAAGGTTCTCTTCCTTTTTTTCTCCAAATGATAACCATTCTTCTGTCACTGTCCATATCAAATGTGACAACATATCTAATACAAATCTCTGTAAAGCATTGCATACACCCACGCACACAGAACTCAGACTCAAATGGTTCTGTTGGTCTCCGCATTTGCAAACACTTGTTTTTATCTTTCCCAAACAAAAGAAAATTCTATATAAAATTACACCAAATAGCATAACAAAGGCAAGCCAACTACAAACAGGTCTTGTATTGTGGTTGATGGACTTTTCAAAAGTATCCCAAGAAGTAAAAACAAAACGCAAAGTCTAATCCATTATCATCAGGTTCATCTACTGTGTTAAGAATGTCAAATTGAGGCATTTAGTAAAAACACCTCACATGACTGAGAGGGGCTATCTTTTGAAGCAAATTTAATGGAAATAAAAAATAAGAGCTTTAAGGCACAATATGGACAAAACAAACTAGTTGAAGAAGCTAAGAAAACAACAACTTATCCAAAAATACATTAGAGGAGCTGATTCAACTGAAAAGAACCAAACCAAATAGAGAAGAACGTTGGCTATATAAATCTACTTTTAGAATTACCAAACCAAATAGTGAATAATTTAACTACTTTTAAACCTACTTAACCCCTCAGCGGTTCTCAATAAATGGACTACATAACTATTAGCTTCTGCAAAAATGTGATCACAAAAAAGAGATTTTCAACGTCAGCAAGAATTTCATTGCATTGCTCTTCTTTACAAACAGAGAAGAGAATGCATTTGATTGTACCTTCCATATCACTTTTATCTGAACAAGGTACCTACTAATATATAATATTTGTTTCATGAGTTTACAAAATAATTTTGTCGACTTAGTTTACATAGCACTTTCACAAATGCTGGAATTCCAGTTTTAGGATCCCAAATTCTTCTATTTCTTCTCTGATATTTAAATGATTTACTAAATGCCATTGCGTTATAGCTATGACTCCTATGTTCTGCTGTTATGTCATTGGGCAGTTTTTTGAATCACTTTGTTTAGTTTCAGTGTTCTTGGATGGATAAGTTATTGTATTTTTCAAATTTTAATCTGAATTAAAATTTGAAGTTACAACCTGCAGCATGTGAAATTTCCTATTCAAGTTTCTGTCCTCTTTTTCCTTCCTTTTTTTTAATTACTGTTTCCTGTTTTCTTGCTGATCATTAATTTGAAAATTGAAGACTGGATCACATTGATTTGGACACCTCACATCTTGAAGCTTTGGGGATATTCATTTCCCAGACCACTAACATCTTATTTGGTTGTGACGGAGTTGCAAAAGCTTGTAAATAATTTATTTAAAGCAATCTAAAGTTCGAGTTCACAAACTTCATAGGTAATTCATATTGCGTTATTTATTTTGTTTGGTACTATTTGATTGTTTTATCAAGTGATTTTAATGCATGAATTTATTTATTTTGTTCTTTCAAAAAGAAGAAAAAATGTGAAGAGAATGTTGTGAAGGACATGGAGATGAACAATTTCAAGCTGTGTATGGGGAACACAAGCATATTGGAAGAGTGTTATGTTTCTATTCATTGATGTTTTACTTTATTGATCAAATAGTCATGAAGTGAGACTGTTTTATGAACTGAGGCTTCTTTACAATTTAGCATAATTTCTCACCTCACACATGGTTATGTTTTGCCAGATTATTTTCTTCCATACGTTTTTTTTTGTTTTTTTTGGTTGATGGTTATGGGGAATTTTGGCTTATCTAACTCTAAACTAATTTTGGCGGATTTCAATGTGGTCCTACAGTGAAGGGGATCAAACAGAATTTGAACTTTCAATTTCAATAGAATTTGTAAAAAAATACCAGCCAACACAGCGAGCAGTAGTCAAACAACCAAAAACAATCATCAGATATGCCATGCAAAAAAAGTCTCTAAGAACTACTCCAAGAAAGTAATCCTCTCCACAAATCAACCTACCAGGGTAGTTAAAAAATTGTAGCAGTAACCAACAATCCACTTATACATAGTAATATAATAAGGTGATCACAACAAGAACGTCGGATTTTATGTTGCTCAATTTGCATTTTCTACTGATGTTTCCAGTTAATGAACTTATGGAACTAATTGAAGCTTTTGAGAAGCCTCGGCCTATATGTCTCAGAACCAATACCTTAATGCTGTGTTTGGTTGGGGGATTTGGGAAGGGATTTGGAAAGGGAAATAGAAAAGGTAGGTAAAATGTGAATAAATCATGCCTATATTATTCAAAAGGAGGTTAACTGGCTATATAACAAAAATGACAAAGAGGACAAGGCAGACTAAAGTAAATCATACTCTTTTTTTTTTTAATCAGCAAAGCAAATCTTCAGCAAAGTAAATCTTACTTTTGACGACTCTGTTCAACAGAAAACCAGCCAAATCCCATCGTCATGACTACATTTTTAGACAGAGAAGTAAACTGAATTCAATGTGCACCATGTTCAACAAAGAAGCATAAAACAAGTCGAGTAATGTTTGAGGGCCCGAAATTCGTGGGTCAAAAAAAAATCAAAACCCAAAACGACGTCGTTTTGGGTTTTGAGCCAAATTCGACCCACGAATTTCGGGCCCTCAAACATTACTCGACTTGTTTTATGCTTCTTTGTTGAACATGGTGCACATTGAATTCAGTTTACTTCTCTGTCTAAAAATGTAGTCATGACGATGGGATTTGGCTGGTTTTCTGTTGAACAGAGTCGTCAAAAGTAAGATTTACTTTGCTGAAGATTTGCTTTGCTGATTAAAAAAAAAAAGAGTATGATTTACTTTAGTCTGCCTTGTCCTCTTTGTCATTTTTGTTATATAGCCAGTTAACCTCCTTTTGAATTTGCAGGTTGTATTTGTTGTGTATGACTCACAAGTTCCAATTGGTGCCACTCTTGAATAGATGGCTGGTTATTACGAGCAAGGATCCCCTCCTTGCATTTCTTACTTGCAAGTCCATTGGGCCCACTTTTAGGCTCAATTTTGATAATATGAACTATTCATATTTTAAGATTTGTTCAATATATCATACCCGTAAAAAATCAATAAATTCTTTAAAAAATAATTTTTAGTTTGAGTTTTCCGAACATATGCTTTCTGATATCCGATTAACATGATTTTTTATAGGTATGATATACTGAACAAATCTTAAAATATGAACGGTTCGGATTATTAAAATTGGGCCTAAAAGTGGGCCCAATGATCTTGCAAGTAGAAAATGTAAGGAGGGGATCCCGATTTGGTTATTACACGGTATATTGACTAGCTAACACGATTCTCTTGTTCTTCCCTGTTCACCCAATCAAACCCCGCCCACCCCCCTGCAAAAATAAATAAATAAATAAACAAATATATATATATTTTTGGTTTTATGTGATGTGCTCAGTGCTCAGTAAGTTTTTTTACAGATGCAAAGTGCAAGCTCCTTTTTGCCAGTGATGGCTCTTGCACCTCCAGAGAAGGAAAGAATTGTCAATATGACGTAGCTGAACCATTTCACACGAACATATTTGCTTACTGTTAAATCTGAAAAATATGAATTTTGATTTTGATCTAAAAGCACACGTGTGCAACTAAAGTGGTGAAGATATTATTTCCCAGAACGAAGTTCTTGGGTTTAAATCTCATTCACCTCACTATAAAGTTTTATGTTTTAAATAAGCTATAGTATAGTATAGATAGATAGAATATAAGTTGATAATTAAAAAGTAAAACCCAAAACCACATCTGACTGCCATACTGATCAAGTTCCCTGTCATTGTTCTTGTGTAGCTAAGGAAAGAGAAGGGCATGCTGAGAGACTCATAGTCTCAAACTAGCCAGAGTAATTTCTTTTCCCTTTTTTTTTGTTTTTTGTTCGTTGTTTTTTGTTGTAGAAAATGACTTTGTAAGCAATTAACCTAAAGTATGTCTCCATTCTAAGATATCAGAAAATTAGTTGTTAAGCTTTTCTTCCTTGACAACGACGCTTTTACTTCTTTGTTTCATTAATTGAACTTGGTATTGTTATCATTCTTTTTTAAAGTCACTGCTATGATTGTTGGATTGGCATAAAAAACGTATACATAGAAGTTAGCTAAAGTTATTATTAAGAAATGAATTTGAATTGACAATTTACAAACCGAAGTTGGCAGAGCACTTGGTTCAAATGAGATAGACAATTCTCATCTGACTGGTGAATAAATTGTTACGTTGGAATTAGGTCGCCTACGTCTTGATAACAGGAGGTCAAAGTCAAGGACTCTGGCTCTGAAAGATGCAAGAAAGAGAAGCAAGAAGAATAAGGTTTGCTTATATATATATACTCTCATTCTCATATATATACTCACATATTTACGATATATACACACAGGTCATCCAGGGGGAGGAGGTGGGAGACGATGATTCAGATTAAACTCATGGACAATATTTGAGTTTTGGCCTTCTTCAACACAATAGCCCAAAACTATGCTTTTGGGTTTCTTTTGTACTTACCTCTTCATTTGGGCTTTTGTAGTTTGAACATTTTTTTTTATAGTTGTTCAACTATAATTTTCTCCATATATTTCTGATTCAGAAAACATAATGCAGTGGAACGAATGGTATAGTGAGGAATCAATAGCAAATTACTTCAATTGTGCTTGTTTGTAAGTTACACAAACTATTTAGACATTTTAGAGCTTTGGAGCAATTCTAATCCCATCTACAGATTTCTCTCTCTAAAACTCACAACGTATTCCACCGCTATAGCAAAGACCAACCACCCATCTCCTCTTCCATAAGCTCTTCAGCCACCACCTATTCTCCTCTCTTTACCCAAGGCTAGTATTGGAGACTGCACTCAAAAAAACCAAACAGTCAAACAAGGGCGATTCAAGCAATCCAAGGGCGGTATTCAAGGCATCAAAGGTAACTTTTTGTAGCTCTCTCATTCTAATAATTTGTTTTCATATATCTAGAAACATGATTAGAATTCTTATGATCTTACTCATGCTTCAATCTTAATTTGGATATTAGTCATGCCATAAACCATTGTGGATATTTTGAGCAGGAATTACTTTTCTATAAAAATCTATTTACAAATCAGGATATGTGGCTCTCACAGCCCGTTGATTGGGATAGAAAATCAAAATGTTGTTTTAGTCCATAAACTACAAAAAGTTACGTATTAGTTTTCTGAAAAGAGAGAAGGATATGTGTACATTACATGGGGCAAACCGCAAAGGTAAAGTGAACCATAGGACTGGACAGGACATAGCCAGAGAATAATACAAAAGAAAACTCATTTGGTTAGATTGGTCAGATTCAATTTGTTACTGAATCTCACATGCATGTTGCTTCTTTTTTCACCTCTAAGAAAAGCAAAGAAACAAGAAGTACATAGAAATCATTGCCACTGGCAATTTGTACGAGTCTTGCATGACATTTTGTTGGGGGCAAGATAAACTGCATACTTCCCATCCCCAACCTATGAAGTTACTATTACAGAGATATATTTATCTATTTATCTATATATATAGCCATCATCTCGTCTCATTCATTCATTAGTACCTCTGCTAGGCTAGCTTTGCATTGACAACAGTATTGGTCGTGGATGTCCTTGGAGGGATGCCTTGTTGATGCCTGAAAAAATTAAGTGGGTCAATGAGTGTCTTGGCTCTAACCAATCTATCATAGTTCTGTAAGAAATACTTCTGACCCCAAACCCTAGCCATCTCCACCTCATCAGCAGGAGAAGGAGAGGGAGCGCCACTATTAATTAGCAACTCCTCTTCCATCACTCCAAGGTCGACGTCCATGTAGTTAATGTAAGCAGCCCTTGGACCCAATGAAACATATGGTGTCATTGAATCATAAAATCCTCTTATCCAATCTATGTAGTATTCAGCCATGTTTTTGACATTGTTATCTTCTTCTTTCCACTCAACAAGATACTGAATGGCGAAAAGGTTACCTTCTCTGTGAGGAAAAGCAATGGAGTTACTACTTATCCTTTGCATAACTCCCCCATAAGGATCCAAAATGACATAACCTTTTGGTTCCTCCTCAAGTATGTCCAACGCAGCCTTTATGCCATTAAATGAAATTGGAGTCCTCACGTAGTCTGATTTGGCCTTGAAATACCCTTTGTTGTGCAAGTAGCGGTCTTTTAAGTCAGGGATGCTTCCATTATCTAGACCAGAGAAGAAAACAATGGACTCTATCCAACTCATTTCTTTGCAATCTTCTTCCACAACACCCAATTCTGGGAAGACCCTGTTTAGAATGGAAATGGCTTCACTTCTTGGACCTAGATAAAACCCTTTAAACGTTGCTGATATTATTCCAATTGTTTTCGCTTTAGGCAAACCAGCACCAACAAAAACCGATAAATAATACTCATCTTTCAAATTAGGTGCAACAAATTGCCATTTGTGCACTAGGTTGGTCACAAGATGTTTTGTCCCAGGCCTAGACACAACGAAACTTGTTACGGTTTGAGGTACTTTCAACAATTGGATCTTCCATGCATAAATAATCCCCCATACACCCCCACCGCCTCCTCTGATGGCCCAAAACACATCTTCTCCCATGGCTTCCCTATCTAGTAACCGTCCATCTGCGTCAATCAGAAATGCATCCAGCACATTGTCAGCTGCAAGTCCATATTTTCTTGATAACAACCCAAATCCACCTCCAGCAATGTGCCCTCCAACCCCAACAGTTGGACACGAGCCTGCCGAGAAGCCATGAATGTTGCTTGATTGGGCAATTGCATGGTAGGTTTGACCTAGTGTAGCACCCCCTTCAACCCATGCAGCTTCTGATGCCAAATCCACCTTGACTTTGTTTAGATTCATCATGTCAATAATCACAAATGGTGCTCTATCAGTGACAGTCAATGAAGTACCTTCGTAGCTGTGCCCACCGGACCTTACTCTAATTTCCAGTGATCCTTTCTTACAGCAAACAGCGCTATTCACTAGTTGTTCTTTACTCATTGGTAGTACAATGGCTATTGGTTTGGGAATGGATGGTTCAGCAAATCGTAGATTTTGTATAGAGAAATTCAGGAGGTTATAGTAAACTGCAGAATCAGTACATGTTTTTGGGTATGTGGTGAAATTATTAATGTTGTGATATGTTAAACAAGAAACAAGGTCTGTGGGCTGATCACATAGAGAAGGAAAAACAGAGGATATGAAGATCATACTCATCAGTAGAGGAAATAAACTCCATACGAACTTTGCCATGGCTCTCTTTTCCATTTCTGAGTATAGAAGTGGACTGGAATTTAAATGAGAGAGTTTGGAGAATAAATCTCATGGGTTGAGAACAGATGGTGTGATCAATGTAGAAAGTACATACATGGCCGGCTTTCCCACTTTTAAATTGGGTGGCCACTGATAAGTGACAAAACACCTTGCATGAGTTAAATAGGTTAGTTGGAGGGGGAAAATCTTGAAATACATATTATATATATATGCGCTTACATGTATGGATATCTACTCATACATTTACATGGACAAAAACAAAAATACAAGCTATATAACCCACACCTCTAGCTTTTAGAACATAGAGCAGATGCAAAACAAATTAAATAATGTAGATTGTGGAACTGTGCCGGCCAACCTCGAGATACACGGCCTGCCGATACCATATAGACATCCATATATGTAACATGGGGATAGATTACAAAACAAGATACAAAATATCGAAAGTGCTTTTTTTTATTTATTTATTTATTTATTTATTTGTGGTGTAGTGTGAGGTTGATAAATGATTAAAAATGTGTAATTATTTCATATTATTTTGGGATAGTAATATACTTCTGTTATATTAATTCCCTTAATTTATATTTAATGAATTAATTTTATTTTTTGTAGGAATAATTTATCAATTAGAGGAATGATGGCTGTAATTAATCAGAAGTGTTGCTATTAGCATCCCATCAATTATTTTGAATCTCTCATTTTTTATCTTTTTTTTATTACAATAATAACCTCAAATGAAATTATTAAAAAGGACAAAAAAAATTTGGGACATTCCATCTCAAAATTAAGCATATAAACTCATTCCATCTTGAGTTAGGATTTATGAGAGTATCCATATATGTTACCATCAATCCATTTTTTCCAAATCTCACTTTCAAAATCTACTCATCTTCAAAACCTTGAAAACCTTTTGATGATAATATTCTTGCGGTAACGGTAGTAACCATTTGATTATCTACACTTCTTTGGCAATGATAATGAGTGGAAGTTTTTTCGGCAATTGTTTCATGAGATAAGAGGAGTACAATAATAAAACTCAGAGGATGTTCATAATTTTGATAGTGTTCTTAACTCACAAGAGATTGACCTTGTAAGGGTAAGTTTCTTGAAAAAAAAAATGACAAAAATAATAAAAACTGTTAGTCATTTTTTTCGGACTGAACTCCTGAACATATGATCAAAATTTAGGAACACAAGATGAACATTGTTTATTTGTTCGGGAACAAGTTACCAAACATTTCTTATTTGTCCAGGAACAAATAATCAAAAAACAGTATTAATGAAACCTGTAGACGCGCCCGTGGGCCTCATGCTACAATTCAGACTCGATTTGTGTCACGGTTTCTTATGTCTGAACCAAAGAGTCCAAATCCGGAAATCGTTTTGAGAAACATATTTTTTGAAAGAAGTGCCAAACATGGATTGCTTTCCAGATACAGATCGCCACCTAAATATTTTTTTAATGGAGAATTTAGGAAACCCTTGACTCGTGCCAAAGGCCACTGTCCGTCATCACCAAAGTTGCTCGGCTGGGAACTTGGGTACAACGGGGAAGGTCAGCATGAGCACCCCCTCTCGCCTGTCCAAAGACGCCTCTACTAAGTATGATATAGTTTTTGAAAACTATGTGTTCTTATTCCTTATTACCTAGAATTACTATGTTATGCGCACAGCAACAAGTATAGACTAGATTGCCTAATTTGGAAAAACATTGCATTCGTTTGTTTTGAAAAATGGTTTGCTACTCGCAAGTAGGCTAAAATACGATTTCAAGAGTTTTTCCAACTCAGACAATCCAACCTTCACCCACAGGCATTCAAACAGTTTATCACATAAGCATCTAGCCACATGGTAAGCATGCTGTCATGATGCATTCACACGCATGCGGGATGCTAAAGCATAAATACTTACATCGTACTCCGTGCCAAAACAATAAACTAGTTAGCCAACATGCATGGTCCTAGTTCATGTCAAATTGCCTGATGCAACACATACAGAATGCAATTAGAATAGGCTCGGCTAACCTAAGCATGGCATGTGAAATGCAGTCAATTGATGCACATATTCAATTTGGGATTGAAATACAAATGCGGTTAGCATGATGTACCGAGCCTGATGCATGCAACACAAATGCATGAATGCACGCATGCATAGCATAAGGTATGCTAAATTAAACATGTCCTATTACTAACCATCAAAGCAGGTAAGTAAAAGGGAAGAAAGAAGTGGGGATTGGAAGACATGCACACACACGCACCCACACTTATTACAGATTCGCCTTCGCTCGGAGGGACTGAATAAATATTACAAATTAACTAACTCACAAGCTAATTAATTATTACAAATCACCTAATTAGTTAACAACCTAACTAAGCTAGGAAAAACAGTAAACCGCCTCGGGAAGAGAGCCTAATGCAATGCGTGCTCGGTCCTTGCTCGGAAATGCACCGCCATGCATAGGTTGCCTCTGTTTTCCTTGATATACTCCTCTGGAGACTTCAAAAGTCTCAGGATTGTTTCCCTAGACATTGAGGAGTGCCACCGGGTGAATAGGATTGCCACCGGCAGGGGTATGTGGTCACCGGCCATTAGTGAAGCTATCGGCAGAGGGAGGATTACCGGTCGGCACTTAGCACTGCCGGTCGGCAGAGAGCTCCTGCAGAATCTGCAATTGACAGCAACAGAGGGTAAGGCAGAGCATGGCAATACAATTCAAGCAATGTATGCACCAATCATGTCCCTTATCATGTCAGTGACTCAAAGGGCCGTGATCCTTGGTTCTTGGACCATCAATCGCGCATTTCAATGCGTGATGGGCCAAGAGACCAATTTATGCATGTTGATGTCAAAATGCAATGCAAACCAACAAACAAATGAGGAACTCAACCTCAATCATGGATGATCAAGAGGCAAAGCATGCATGCAATACAACCTAAGCATGTTGACTAGGCATGCAACATGGGAATGCAAACAAGCATGCAAGACATGCAAGGCATGAGATAATGCAACCAACAAGAATGCAAGGCACAATGTGGGTGTTTAATCATGTAAACAAACATGTGACTTCATTCAATCATGCAAGTTCAATTATGCAACAACTCGCCAATATGCTACCACATACAAGGAGTACATGCAACAAACAAAGGGATGGACTTAAACATGATTTGGGCAGTCCTAACTAGGCCCAAAACAATGGCCAAAGTGCTATGAAATGAGGGCTAAATGACATGCAAACATGCATGCACACAAGGACCAACACTTAAGCATTAAAGAGCGATTCTCAAGCGCACTCAAGAAGGTGCAAACATGGACAAATGACATGCATTAAGCTCTGAAAATCATGCGAGAATATGGTGCCACACCAAGCAAGCAAGATAGGCTAAACATGCAACAAATGGCCCAAGCATTCAAAGCAAACTAATGAAGTATTGAACTATACTTAGCAAGACCACACATGGCATGAACCTATTGATCAAAAACAGAGCTTTAGCACATAAAACAAAGCCCCAAAGACCACTTAGATGGCATCTAAATGACCTAAATTCAAAGGCATGCACAAATGCCAAAACATGGAGCATGCTACACAAGCTTTCAAAGCATTAAAGAGGTGTCCAAGGCAAGCATACAAGCATGTTAAAGGGATTGAAATAACATGGAAAATGGTCCCAAATCACTAAATTAAGGCAAGGATGCATGCTACACATTCACACACTTAAGGCCAACAAGCCAAAAATGCAAAGGGGCTATACAATGCATGCCATGGCCGACCCAAACAACTATGGACAGACCTCAAGCATGGCAAAATAAGCACAAAAGCTTCACAAAGCTAGACCTAAAACACGCTAGAACAAAGGTTTACAACCTAAGGCATGTTAAGGCCTAAACATGGCATTACAAGGTAGGTATGCTAAGCATGCATGGTGTACCAAAACCAACAAAAAACAGAGGCATATTATGACATAATAAGCACAAAAAACAACTAAGGCATGGTCAACATGAAGCTTAGCTAGGTGCCCTCTCAAGAGGCCAAAAATGGTCCTTTTCAAGGACAACAAGGAGAGGGGGTGGCCCTCTCCTCCCTAGGACCTCAAGGCCCATCTTCACCTCTGAAATCCCTCAAGATTTCAGTGGTGAGGAGGCCCAAACATCAAGGTCCCGGAGCTCACTCAAAATGGCTCAAAAAGGAGCCTTTCAAGGCTTAAGAGGGGTCAAACACCTCCAAACCACAAAACACTCAAAACAAACTATTTAGAGGGCCTAAAAAAAGAACTTTTTTATGTTATACACTAAGCACAAAAACAGTTCTAAGATAGGCAAAAATACAATGCAAAAATGGGGAATAAAGGGGTAAAGTTCTTACCCTTGTAGACCTTCTTCACAAATGGTGAACCAGCTGGTTCTTCAAGCTCAAAATCACCCAAGAACACCAAGAACAACCTCTGGTCCTTCAAGGAACCAAGAAAATGTGTAACACTATGTGTTTGTGTACAATAGTAAGACACAAACACACCTAGACACACACAAAGGCCAAATGAGAGAGGTATAGAGATAGAATATGTATGGAACCCTAAACCTAAAACCAGAGCTCTCACACAACTTTTCTCTCTAAAATGTCTAACCCTAAAGCCAAGAGGGGAGGGCTCCTCTTATAGAGGAGCCAATCTTGTAAAGCTTACAAGGTAAGCTAACAAGGAAGCCATCCCTCCATACACGTGTATGGAGGGGAACAAAATGCCATACAGCTGTATTAAAATATCTGCAAAAGCAGATGAACAGTAGTCGGCTGCTCAAAATTGCCATTTTGACAAAATGGACTGCCGACCGACAACAAATAGTGCTGATCGGCAGTACATATTGCCGATGGCAACAAAACACCAGCCGGTGGCCCCTAGCCATGGCCGGTGATGTGTGGGATGCCTCACAAGGCATTCCCTGCCCTCCAAGGCAAAACACAAGTGTTTGGTGCAAAACCAGACACTAAACAATCGAGTCGAGAGATCCTGAGGCAAGGCGCGCGAGCCGAGACCTCCGGGAACTCAAGACGAAGACAAACATGGATGATCACCGAGTGTTCAAACGGTGACGTCCAAGTCTTGA